GTTTGAAGTCTACTATATTCTTTTCTTCTTCTTTTTCGTCTTCATTTTCAATTTCGCATAGATATGTTAGTTCATCAACATCTCTTTCGCACAAGTTTGAAAATTCTTGGTATTCATCAGATGTTTGTTCTTCGTCTACTACATAGTCATGTAACCAATTTGGAGTTTTTCGCTTCCGAACTGATCTCTGACTTTCTCTTACATTTTCTAGTTCGCTTATGTTTCTTTTATTTTATTCAATTTCAGGTTCTTCAATTTGACAAGGCTGTGTTCCAGAAATGTTATGATTTTCTGAAGTTCCTTCTTCAAAATCTGATATGTTGGGTATAAAACGTTGTGCAAGTTCAATGTCTACGATAGGTTTACTTTTATTTCCTTTTCGTGGTTCAATTTCATTACTAATTTGATTTTGTGTTTCAGGTTTTTCGAAGAGATTTTCATATCCATCTGTTTCAGTGATATTCGTCTGGTAATACATTTTATCAATGATTTTGACATCTCTACTAATTACAACAGTTTCTTTTTCAGGTAAATATATGCGAAAACCTTTTGCGTTTTGTGCGTAACCAATAAAAATGCCTTCTGTAGCCTTTGGAGTAAACTTACCCTTTCTGTGTTTATTTAGCACGAACGCCTTGCTGCCAAAAATGTGATTTCCGGATGGTGTACGTCCCGTCCATTTTTTATGCGGGGTGCAACCTTTCAATGCTCTCGCTGGGTTTCTATTTAATAGATAGTTGGCAGTATATACCGCCTCCGCCCACAACTTCTGAGGTATTTTACCCTCTATCATCAAACAACGAGCTTTATCCAGCAGTGATCTCTTTATCCTTTCGCTTTGCCTATTTTGCTGTGGCGTGTATTGTGCAGACAGTCTTCTTCTGATTCCATGTTCTTTTAGGTAGGAATCAAATTCGCGATTGAGGTATTCTGTTATCAAATTGCAGATTTTTTATTTGTTTATTGTGAAAATTTTCTACTTTGTTTTTGTATTCTTAAAATTTTTCGAATACTTCGTTTTTATGAGCAATGAAATATATACAGCAATATATTGTAAAGTCATCTAAAAATGTTACGAAATATCTGGCTCCGCCTAAAGATTCAGTTTGCATTGGGCCGCACACATCGCTATGGATTATTTCCAATGGATTGCTGGACTTTGTTCCCTCTAGGGAAACAAACGGTAATCGAGTCATCTTACCTTTTATGCAGACTTCGCATTTTGGTAAGTTCTCGTTCCTTAGTACCATACCTTTTATGAGGTTGTTTCTTGCCGCGAACTTTAGGTCGTTTTCATTTAGGTGTCCTAATTTTCTATGCCATGTTTCAATGTTACTTTCTGCAGTGTGAATCATTTTTGCCTTTTCACTTTTTGTATAAAGGCCATGCTCTTTTTCAGCGATCAATGTCGTGTGACCATATTTATCTTTGATAAGGGCTTTATCTTTTGTGAATGTAACGCTAAATCCTCTTTCTGTGATTTTGGATACTGACAATAGATTTGTTGACAGCGTGGGTACATACAGGGTGTTGTGTAAATTGTATGGCTCATCATTAATGTTAATTTTGACTTTGCCTTTTCATTCGACTTTACATCAACTGTCTACACACCATGCATCTGGAGAGGTAATGCTCATGCATGTGGGTGTTATATTGAAACTCTTACCAAGATTTTTGTTTGTTTTCTTTTTACTCCAGCATGTTTCTGTTGTGTGGCCTTTCTTTTTGCATGATTGACAGTATGCGCTTGTGTTCCTCTTTTTTGCGTAAAATGCTCCTTCGCCACTTTTTGTGCTATTTCTCGCGTCATTTTCTTCAATTATTTTGACCTTGAGTTCTTCAGGGGTAGGAAGTGTAACTCTGGATTCAATGGCTATTCTGAAATTTTCGAAATTTGACGGAAGGCTATAAAGCATCATAATGCTCAGCAATTCCGAATTGATTTTTACGTCCATATCTGCCAATTTGTCCACTATGTCAAGGAAGTTATTTAGATGGTCTCTTGTATCTTGTCGTTGAAGCTTTTTTCAGTACGAGTTGCTTTAGGAGAGTTGCTTTTCTTGCAGGGCCGGTGCTTTGGTACATCGCTTTAAGTTTTTCCCATACTTGCTTTGATGTTAAACATCCTTTTACTTGTTTAAGCTCGTGCGGTGAAATTAGAAGGAAGAGTTCGGCTTTGGCCATCATGTCCTTTTTGGTGAATTCGCCTTGTTGCTCAGGAGTGGCTGATGGCGCTAAAATTTTGGCACCACTTACGTAATCCCATAACTCGGCTTTCACTAGAATTGCATGTGCTTGAAGACACCACGTGTCGTAGTTGTCTTTCGTAAGTGCCTCTACACGGTGATATGTAGAAGAAGTCATCTTCGATGTTTTATTTGCTGTCCCGAACCTTGGTTTGCTACCAATTGTTGGATTTGATGGACAGTAATGAAGTGACTTACGTTTTTAATTGTATCAAATCGTGTATTTATTTTCCTTTCTATATTACAATATAAAGTTACCAAAATTGTGTGTATCAAAGTCTGCGGCCACGAAGTAAAAAGGAAGTAACCTCAGATTAGAGATGAGACGTCATAAAATATAGTTGTGTAGCAATCGATAAACTAGTAATTACACCATGCATACAACAGGGAGTCGGTAACGTCGATAACGATGCTTAACCGGAGATTAGTGTTAACCAGACATTGAGTACCCGGCCCTAAGTATTGCTCCATTCCATACTCTAAGGAGTGCTCTAATGAGAACTTTGAAGAGTACTCTATTAAAAATTTAAGGAGTACTCTTATCTAATGACATGCAAAACTAAAAAGGAGTAAAATTTGCATGAGCTTNTAGAGATGAGACGTCATAAAATATAGTTGTGTAGCAATCGATAAACTAGTAATTACACCATGCATACAACAGGGAGTCGGTAACGTCGATAACGATGCTTAACCGGAGATTAGTGTTAACCAGACATTGAGTACCCGGCCCTAAGTATTGCTCCATTCCATACTCTAAGGAGTGCTCTAATGAGAACTTTGAAGAGTACTCTATTAAAAATTTAAGGAGTACTCTTATCTAATGACATGCAAAACTAAAAAGGAGTAAAATTTGCATGAGCTTCGGAGTAATGGGGAGTGATTATATCTTCACATAGAATGCTCCTCTATTACCCTTGGATGATTCCTTTTTTTACTGGGTAATTCTATTTTGGTTTTTAACGAAAAGAAATTCAATCGTTAATGCTGAAGCTGTAACATGCATTTAGGTGCTAGGTGTTAATAGTGAGCTGGCAATTGCATGCAACAACAACTTTTCGTTGATTTATTTTGTTTCGATGTTAACGATTGATGATTTATTTCGTTTCAACGTTAACGATTGAGTTTTGTATCTTTAATTCAGCTCTGAAACGAAACGCAATTATTTTGATAAGTTATTTTTGCGCATCAACAAAACGAAATCGATTGATATAGTTTATTGAGCATCTCTGCTCTAGCCACTAGCGGCAGCCCAGGCATACGCACGCGGCACCCCAGGGGCCGCGTCACCCACTTTGGGAAGGCCTGCCGTAAAGCATGAACCAAAAATACAAGATCACGTAAGAACGCGACGTTGTATTTGTAACTGGTTTTGAGAAAAAAATTTGCGAAAGCGGGTTCGTCAGCTGAGCGTTTGTTTAGCATATTGTCAATCGAATGAACTTATAACTTCAAAGTGAATCATATGGATTGCATAAGTTATATAACAATTTTGAAAGTAACTACAAACCAAACTACATATATGCCAAGTAACCCAGCTGATATATGTAGACGTGTGTAACCCAGATAATCGTTTACTTATTAAAGAAGTATATATTACTTGTGTTGCAGAGACGTAGATATCAACAGCACATTTAAGTAAAGTCCTAATTTAAAAAAAAAATAAAAAATATTAAGTAATGTTATATTGAACTGTAAATAAACAAGTAATTTTCAGCAAAAAACCGACTTAAAAATATATATATATATACTTCATGATCCAATGATCGGATGTAAACCAGATTAGTATGGGACCTCTGGGACACTACCTTTCCGATGCAAAAAGAATATCGAAATTGGTTGACGTGGTCCAAAGTTATGCGGTAACATACATAAAAAAAGAATATTCCGACGAACTGATAACCTCCTCCTTTTTTGGGAACCGGTTAAAAAGAGATTTGATTTTAACAGTGAAGTTTTGAAAAACTTGCTAATTCGACATTTTAACAGTTTACAACAATTTTCCTAACTTGTACAAAGAAAGCGACAAAGAGAAAATTTTTATACAATGACAACTTTTGAAATTCGATTATAAAATAGAATGCGTTAAAGACATACAACAGGCTTACTCCCCCTAAAAAATTATTTAAATAACTCGAGCTAACTTCTTTTATTTTTAATACCTTGGTTATAATGCACGGGGCGAATCGTAACAAGTCGCGGCGAATTCGTAAGGATCTATTGATTTTAGATGCTTCCGTTTTACATTGCGTTCAAGTGCATTATAATCGTTTGAATTCATTGCCCATACAGTAGATAATTAAGTGACAGTTCACTCTGTTCCGTTACTTCCATTATAATCCCGGCATAACTTGTTATGTTTGCCGCACGGCTCCGCCGCGTCAAAGCGCATTTTCTCAGATCTGAATTTGATCAAAACAAATAGAACAAATCGCTCCACCTAGCCAACGATGCAATGCATAATGTATCCTAAAGGCGTTAAAAATGATTAAAAAATTTGAATTCTGAGCGCTATAAGTACAAAAAGTATTTAAACTGCAAATAAGATTATACATAAGACATTTTTGCTGTTTTTATTATACTAATACCAATCACAATTGATGTGTGTACTTTTTTTGAAATCAATAAATGTTATATTGTTTTGAAAAATGGCTTTTCATAAAAATTATTGGTCTTATTCCATATTGATATTTGCCCTTAAAATAAGTCTCATCTCTGCTACAAGTTTTCACAAGCCCGCGGTCACACTGGTTATGGGTACCGAACTTTTTTGAAGTAGTTGGTACCGAGTATTGGGCACCGACAATTCGGCACATCACTAGTGTGGTGTGGCTGGGAAAAGCAACAATAGGTGAGTGTACCGTTTTAAAAATATATTAAAATTAAATCAAATGTGTAAGTGTCGTAAAATAATTCGGGCAAGATAAATAGTTGTGCAAAACAAAAGCAATAACTTAAATAATAAAAAGTGGGTTTGAGGCTGGTATAGCTTTTTAGTGTTTAACCGGAGTTTTTGTTGCGGGGAAAGAAAACAAGAGGTTTTTGCTGTCTTGCATTTTCAGTCGGCTTTTAGCGGGTACCGTGCCCTCCCATTTTGCCATGGTAGACACGTTTTGCGATTTTCGGTTTCATGTTCTTCCGTGCATGAGCGGGACAACTAATGAAGTGTCATTGACTTCAATAGTTGTTGCCGCTGTCAAAAGTGTACATGAGGTAAAGAGGAAAAGTTAACGAAAAGTGAAGCAAAGCGAACAGGATGATAAAGAAGTGTCCAGAAAGCAGGGCATAAAATTTTATTCATTTTCGTGGCTGCTGACAAAAATGTCGGAATTGTGAATGAAAAGCAAATTCCAGAGTTCGTTTATACAGTGCTGCAATAAAAGAAAATCCAACGAAAACGCAGGAAAATCTGTATTTAAGCGTCTGGAAAAAATAATTTTGTTTTGTGTTATTCATTTTTTGTTAATATTTGCAAAATACTACCCCTAATGTACGTAGAGCTCTTAAAAATTTAAGTAAAGCATACAGAGTTATCATGTGTCGGAAGTACACTAACATCGTTTGCTTGTATTCGTATTTTCTTTTTAATTTTCAGAAAAATGAGCAGTTCCGAAGAAGTCTCTTGGGTAACATGGTTTTGTGGACTGCGCGGCAATGAATTCTTCTGTGAGGTATGTACTTTAATAACTTACAATTATCTAAGTATATTGAATCAAAAATTACATTTTAAGATTATTTCAATTCCTCTTTGTTATCTAATCGCTGTAGCTCTCAAAAATGTAGGAATGGAAGAAGGCAGCATGCAAATAATTCCAATTGGCGACAAAAGTTCTTTAAATTGTCGCCATATAATTTGATTTAGCGTTCTGCCTCCCCTATGCTTTATTACATTGATAGATCGCACTTATTGATCTAGTTTTAATATATTTAAATACATACTTATATGTTATTAAGTATTTGTCGTTAATTTCTATGTATGTATTTATATACTTAAAGGTAGATGAGGATTATATACAGGACAAATTCAATTTGACTGGATTAAATGAGCAAGTACCAAACTATAGAAATGCTCTTGATATGATCCTCGATCTCGAGCCGGGTATGTTAAAAATAATATTTTGACCTCAAAATTATTAAGCATTTTAATAATTCAACAGAAGATGATCTGGAAGAGAACCCATTGCAATCGGATATGACAGAGCAGGCGGCTGAAATGTTGTATGGCTTGATACATGCTCGATACATTTTAACAAATCGCGGAATTGCGCAAATGATCGAAAAATACCAAACAGGTGATTTTGGACATTGCCCACGTGTTTATTGTGAAAGCCAGCCCATGTTACCTTTAGGTATGCTTTGTTAAAAATGTGGCACCAATTGGATAAACCACTATAAAGATGTAAAATAAATTGCAGGTTTGTCAGATATACCTGGTGAGGCTATGGTAAAAACCTATTGTCCCAAATGTATTGATGTATATACGCCAAAATCATCACGTCATCATCACACGGATGGTGCTTATTTTGGTACAGGATTTCCACATATGCTCTTCATGGTACATCCTGAATATCGTCCTAAGCGGCCGACTAACCAATTTGTTCCAAGGTATATAATATACTTGTCGATTAGATGGCTTAATTATGGATTACGGTATATAATTTTAGGATATGTACGTATGTATGTATGTATTATAATTTTATACATAATTTAGGACCTCAAAAAGCTTAAACTACATTAATATAAGAATCAAAATTTTACAGTATATAATACAACCTCGTCACTTGAATAAGCACATATCGATAGCTGAGTGGAAGATCGACCTATCTCGGCAGCCAGCTCGAAAACGCCCTATCTCAGAAAATGTTTCAACAACGGTCTATCAGAAAGCTTTTCAAGAGCGCCCTACTCCAGAATTTGATTGCAAAACACCGTATGTTGTTGTTGTTGTAGCGGTTACAACAACCCCGCCCAGGACGGTTGGTATCTCAGTCGTTGTCGTCAAGTTCCACTAACGGCAACCCTAGGAAGCGTGCAGCTTCTGTGGGGTTTGTCCACAGGGACAAGGCCGTTAGGGTTGTCGGGTTTTCCGGGCATGCGAAGAGATGTTTCGAGTCATGTGGGGTCTCTCCGCATGCCGGACATTCATTCGGCACATCCTCATTCAACCTACTCAAGTAGGAGTTCAACCTGCTGCAGTAGCCGGAGCGAAGTTGTGCGAGTGTTGTGCGTGTCTCCCGAGGCAGATGAAGCTCCGTCTCGTCTATGTCCGGGGGTGGTATGCCTAGAACGGCATTCACAGGTCTAGAGTCTACATAACTCGAGACTGAGTCCCTGTGAATGCCGTTCAGGGCCTGTCTGTAAGCTGTCGGGTCCAGAGGTTGCTTAATGAACCTCTGGACTTCGTCCGCAAGCAGCTGTCTGCTTGGGTGGCCACTTCTGTGGCTTCCGATCAGGAACTGCTTGGGTCTGTTTGGGTGGCCACTTCTGTGGCTCCCGATCAGGAACTGCTTGCAGAGCATTATATTATGCTCCTTTACAGGGAGCATTTGCGCCTCGCCGTGCAGGTGGTGTTCAGGCGACATCAAGAGGCATCCCGTCGCTGTCCTGAGTGCGGTGTTCTGTACAGTCTGTAGCTTCGTCCACTGCGTCCTACTAGTCCCTGGCGACCACACTGGCGCTGCGTAGTTCAAAACCGGCCGGCCTATTGCCTTGTATGTTGCCAGCAACGTTTCTTTGTCTTTGCCCCAAGTACTGCCGGCTAGCGACTTGAGGACCTTGTTTGCTCTCTGTACTTTATTGACAATAGCGGTTGCGTGCGCAGAGAAGGAGAGCAGGCTGTCGAATGTTACTCCGAGTATTTTGGGGTTATTCACCGTCGGAATTGGTGTGTCATCGACGTGAATCCCCAGCGGTAGCCTGACCTCCTTCGTCCAGGTTGTGAACAGGGTCGCGGAGGATTTCGTAGGGGAGAGGGCTAGACA